GCCATGTTCATCCTGGCTTTCTTCGGTTTTCTCAGATGCTCTGAGCTCGTTATCACATCTAGCTTCAATCCAAACATCCACCCCACTATCTCCGATCTAGCAGTGCCGGATGACGAAACCATCTCTTACTTCATTAAGCAAAGTAAAACAGACCAGACCAAGAAAGGCCATTTCTTTTTATTTTCAACCTACAATAACCCATACTACCATGCCAAGCCCTCCTAGCCTTTGTCCAGCTCAGGAAATCACAGTCCAAACTCCCATCCGACCCCCTTTTTACAGACGACTCCAACCGCCCCGTCACTCGTTTCTGGTTTCAAAAGCACCTTAAATCCATTCTACTCCTATCCGGTACCCCAGCTGATAATTTTTCCAGCCATTCATTCCGAATTGGCGCAGCAACCACAGCGGCCCAAAAAGGCCTCTCCCAGCAGCAGATACAAGCACTCGGTCGCTGGTCCGCAGGAGTTCCCGCTCCCACAGGAGCCTTTTGTCTGGATTTTACTCAGCCACAGCAGTGCTCGCTTCCGCAGAAGCCATTTTTCTCTTTTCAGATGCCATAGCAGTGCCCACTCCCACAAGAGCCTTTTCCCTATTTCCCCACTGCCACAGCAGTGCCCGCTCCCGCAGGAGCTTCACCGTATTTCCCCACTGCCGCAGCAGTCCCCACTCCCGCAGGAGCTTTTCCATATTTCCCCACTGCCGCAGCAGTTCCCGCTCCCACAGGAGCCTTTTGTCTGGATTTTACTCAGCCGCAGCAGTGCTCGCTTCCGCAGAAGCCATTTTTCTCTTTTCAGATGCCATAGCAGTTCCCGTTCCTGTAGGAGCCTTTGCCTGTATTTTACACTGCCGCAGCAGTTCCCGCTCCCGCTGGAGCCATTATCTGTATTTTACACTGCCGCAGCAGCGCTTGCTTCCGCAAAAACCTTTTTTCTTTTCAGATGCCGTAGCAGTTCCCACTCCTACAGGAGTTTTTCTTTTTCAGATGCCACAGCAGCGCCCGCTTCCGCAGAAGCCTCTAGTTCTCTCTTCTAAGGTAGCAGTTCCCACTCCCACAGGTAGTGTGAACTCGTGAAATGATGTTTCGGGCACAGGAGTGCTTGCTGTTGAAACGAGCCTGCATAGGGTTCTGTTCAGGCTCTCCGTATGGGGTGATGAGGCAGATGGGTGCACTCAGACAAGGATAACCACCATCTCCGAGGATGCACTTCCCTGGTGGTGGGTAAAGGCTGGCAGTATACACAGGGCTGTTCCTCAGCACCCTGGCATCATGCACAGACCCAGGATATCCCACAAAGATGTAAATAAATTTTGAGTTATTTGCTGGAGGTTTCATGCGGATATGACAGCCGTCTATTGCACCAACTGCCCTGCTGAAAGCTGGTGACCCAGCCAGTGGTGCAAATCCTGCTCCCACTGCCTCCAGGTCATCACCAGTCGGAAAGCAAATCACCCTCCTCAAAATTCCCATGATTGCTTTGGTCACTCTGTGCACAATATCATGCACAGAGGACTTGGGGATATCAAAGTTCTGTGACATTACCCTGTAGGATGCTGCATGGGCCACCCAGTAAACCATATCGATGTCCCTTTCCCACCCATGGTAAGATTCCTGTTTGAGTGCAGCAATGAGGGACCTGATGAACGGCAAAGACAGGCGAAGGTGGGCATGGTGGTCAGCTGCTTCATCCAAATAAAGCTGCAGAATTGGCACAGCTGTTTAGATGGCAGTAGGATGTGGGATTCGCTGCCTGTAAATGTGATAGTTTGTTAGAATAATATATTTAAATAAAGCATTGTTCCATGTTTTGTTGCTATGCATTTATTTTTGTGTTGGTTGGTTTTATTTATTTATTTACTCTTTTGTTTACATTTCCTGTTGTTGTCAGTAAATAAAATATTTAATTCATGCATTAATTCATTGCTTGACTGAAAACTGATGTATTCACATTGGCCGCATTTGTCTAGTATTTATGCATAGCTATACCATATGACAATACAATTAAAATTACATTTGGCTTATTTTACTTATATATATATATAACTTTCTGTAAGAAAATATGCAATATAATTAAGTATTGATCAGCATTTATCATTATCATTGTGCATAAGTGTTTGGGTGGGCTAGCAATGCAAATCATTCTGGGGTAATCTTACTTTTTAAGTAATAATACTTACATTTCTCCAGTATAAAATAAACAGCCTTCTCCAAAGACAAGATCTTCGAGCAGCTGCCAGAAGTCTCCTCTGTGCAAACATGATTGCAAACATTTTGCTCATATTCGCACCTGTCAGTCATTCATGTTCACAGAACAAAACCACCAGCACTTGCATACAACTAACCAATATAACATCAAGACAATACAAAGGACAGTGACAGATATTTGGACCGCACATTATCATGAATAAACAGGTTGGTTGTTGGCACAGTTAGCATGACAAGAATGAGGAGCAGGACAGCAAAATCAAGAACACAGAACCTAGTCCTAGACAAAAAGCAATGGCTACAAGCAATGATACATTAAAGAATACCTATAGATTTCCATTGTCTTTGGGGGGGGGGTCCAGTATTAAAACTGGTAAATCAAACAAACTCTTTACACAACACACACCTTACTAAACAATCACTTCTATTCTGTCTTCCCAGATTTGGCAGTATCCAGTGTAAGTCGTTCTGCTGCTGTGACTTTTGTGCTTGTGTGGTCGTGTAAAGTTGTTGTGGTACAAATAGTAGTCTTGTAGTATCTCCCTGACTATATGTACTTTCTGTTGTCATGGTTAGCAATTAGCTTATTTTATAAAATCCCCATTTTTGCAGACATATACTTATTTATGAATGTCATTCATGGGTAGACATTAAAAACACAAAGCATAAAAAGACATTTATTATTCAAAGCAGGTAAAATACTGCATGAAAAAGTGCATGTGTCCAAAGCTATGTTGCGAGCATGGAAGAAAATATCTGTCCTGCTATTTGTACTACATGAATATAGGAACTTTTGAGCATACCATGTGCAAGACAATTATGTTACAAAACATGGTTAACTGAACTCTGATAAAAGAACTGAGCAAATGTTTTTCCATGCTAATCAAAGTTGGATGTTCCTTTACAATAAATGTGGAGAAAGAGGCATTCAAAAAATATTCTATGTGCAGTGTTAACAACTCTAAATTTGGCATATTTGGTACATCTGATTGTTGGTATTTTATATATACAGTAAAATGTGTATGAACAGTTACAGTGTTATCAGAATATTGTTAACAGCAGTTTTCCTCCACAGCAACCTCTATGTGTAGGGTCTTCTCTTCGAGTGGATGGAGTAAGCTTAACTTCAGTACAGTTTAACTTTACTGTTTTTTATCAATTGATCCACTCCCTAAAAACCTATGCATGCAATCATAGCATGTAGCTTTAATCTGATATTACCACGGAGCTTCACACTTGGAATTTTGTCTGATCCTTTCAGCCATAATGCTGATGAAATAATGATGCTTAACACTCCCTTCTTGTGTCGTTTTGTGTGTAATTTCCTTGGCAGTGGCGTAACTATTTGCAGTTCAGTTAGAGTAGTCGGAGTTGTGCCCACAATAACCAGGCCCTTTCACATTGTTTTACATTCCCATGCAGTCCTGCTAATTGCTAATAACAATTAGACGGACCTGGAAAAGGTTCCAATCAGTGGTGTAGTTCTAAAAGGTTTACTATCACACAGTCCTGGTGTAACGAATCAATCAGCTTACAGTTATACACTCAAATTAAAAAGTTTCATATAAAAAAAATAATAAATAAAAAAACTTCCTGTTATTAGACGGACCTGGAAAAGGTTCCAATCAGTGGTGTAGTTCTAAAAGGTTTACTATCACACAGTCCTGGTGTAACGAATCAATCAGCTTACAGTTATACACTCAAATTAAAAAGTTTCATATAAAAAAAATAATAAATAAAAAAACTTCAAATAATATTCAGTGTTTAATTTCATTTATCTTTAAATTGAAAATGAAAATAAAACTACTAGCCATGTACACACACCTCTTCTGAGTGCTTTTATCCCATGCTGTACAAAAAAATTCAAGTAGTGACAACAGCATTTATAGAAAATCTGCATAGTGTGTTTGAAGCTGAACTGAACAACTAGTTTTTCAGTTGTTTCTCTTCTTCAACTATAGTCTACTGGATTTGATGAATTCTGTTATATTTGGTTTGTCTGACTCAAAAAAAAAATCCCATTCTGTCTGATAAAATTACAGAAATTAAATGGATAAATTCTGTCATCATTTACTCACTCTTGTGTTGTTACAACCCTGTATGAATTTAGAATATATTTTGAATAATGTTGATAACCAAACAGTTTTGATGACCATTTTCTCAAAATAAAATGTGTCTGTCCCACAGAAGAAAGAAGTTTATACGATTTTGGAATGACATGGGGGTAAATAAATTTTTACAGAATTTTCTTTGCGAAAAGAAAAGAAAAGAAAAGAAAAGATAAAGAAAGAGCTGTTCGGTGCATAAAAATTCCACTGAATATTTGTTTTGTCTATAACCGTAGTTGTACTTTTGTCACGCTAGGTGTAGAGGAAAGGCACACGAAGACGAAGGTCATCTACACAAGAGTTTAATAGAATCCAAGAAGATGATAATCCATGAAGGCAAAGGGAACACGCAGCAAAAAAAAAAATCAAACAATACTGGACAACATAAGGAACAGAACGGGGAGTACTTATACTAACTCAAACAAGGGACTAATGACTAGATTAATGGAACACAGGTGAACAGAATGAACTAATCAACACACAAGGGAAACTAGGTCAGGGGAAAACATAAGGGAAGAAAACAAACTAAAAGTCCATGGTGGTGACAGAACTCCCCCCTCCCGGAAGGCGTGACCTTGCGCCATGATGGGACGAACAAAGGAGGGAGGGAGGGGGTTTGGAAGGAGGATGAGGCGGTGGCGAAGTGCAGGAAGAGAGGCAGGCAGATAACCAGGGTGGTGACGATGAAGGGAGGAGCCAGGGAGGAGCAAATGGAGGGAGGACCCAGGATGGAGACAGGAGGGACCCTGACCACAGCCATGAATACGGCCCACGGTGGAGCCGATGGAGGGAGGAGTCATGGTGGAGGAAGGGCTGATGACTCCAGGGGGTCGACCGACAACGGTGGAGCAGGTGGGAGAGGAGCCCGAGACGGAGAGGATCCAGAGGGCCAAGGCAGAGCAGATGGCTCAGGCGACCGAGGCGTAGGCTGGGATCCGGAAGGCCGCGGTGGAGCCGGAGCGACAGAGAACCAAGGTGGAGCTGGAGGGAGAGAGGAGCCCAACGGAGCCGGTGGGACGGATCGACAAGGCGCAGCCGGAGGAGTGGAGTCCTGAGGCGATGGCAGGTCGACGACTGACCAAGGCGGAGCCAGAGAGACGAGGGAGCCCAGTGGAGCTGGTGGACTGACGGGCCACGGCGGAGAGGAGGGAGCTAGGAGCCATGGTGGAGCCCCTGGGTCGACGGGCCGAGGCGGAGTCTAGGACTCAGAGGCTGGAGGCGGAGACAAGGGATCCTCCAGCCACAACGCCGATGGAGATTGGCAGACCCGCGGCGAACCCACATCAGTGATGGTGGGCTGAGGGGCTGACAGGAGACAGCGGTGGTGAGGACTAATGAAGAGGTGGTGGGAGAGGGAGGCTGGGTGGGAGTTTTGAGCAGTCCGGGGGTTCAGGAATGGTGTGTGCTGCCAACACACCAGATAGCCACTCCCAGCACTGGGAGCGCCAGAGATAAGGGAACGACTTCCATGGTTGTGATGGGGCAGACAGACAGTTCAGGGTAGATAGACAGTTCGGGCAAGACCTCCATGGTCGTGATGGGGCAGACAGACAGTTCAGAGGAGATAGATAGTTCAAAAATGGCCTCCTTGGCCATAACAGGACAGACAGAGATTTCAGATGATGACGGGAAACTGGTTAGTTCTGAATAAGTCTATCAGATCCCCTGAGTCCTGCCTCAGTTCACCCTCAGCGGTGGTATAGTGGGTGGGGCATTCCTTCGTGCCCTTGCTCTCCACTGTATCATCCCTCGTAGCCGGCTCTCGCATCTGGTCAGACGATCCGTGAGGCTCTGGCTCCGAGGCGATCCTTAGCTCTGTCACTCTTGCTTGCGATGGCTCGTTGGTCGCGGCGGGCTTTGGCTCTCCGTCTACGGCAGGCTCAGGCAAGCGTTCCATGCTGCGGGGTGATGTTTGGCTGGGCCCTGAGTCTGGAGTGGGGCTGGCGAGACCGATGGTGAATGGAGAGTCATTGCTCACCAGCACCCACTCCACGAAGGTGGCAAAATCCCCTTGAGGTCCACATCCGGACAACCGCGCTTGCACATGCGGTGTTCAGGCTCGCTATGTAGAATGAGCAGAGCGCGTCGTCCGGGTAGCTGGAACTGTTGGCGATCTCCACAAAGACCGCCATGTGGACCTCAAGAGGAAGCTCCCCCTGCTCCAGCAGGAGGAGAAGGAATTCAGGACAGTGGGTCATACTAATAAAAGAAAAACATTCAAAAACGGAAAATAAACGGGGGTAAATAACGCCGCTAAACTTTTCTTTTGTGTGGTCCGGTATTCTGTCATGCTACGTGTAGAGGAAAGGCACACGAAGACGAAGGTCATCTACACAAGAGTTTAATAGAATCCAAGAAGATGATAATCAATGAAGGCAAAGGGAACACGCAACAAAACAACATCAAACAATACCGGACAACATAAGGAACCAGAACGGGGAGTACTTATACTAACTCAAAAAAGGGACTAATGACTAGATTAACAGAACACAGGTTGAACAGAATGAACTAATCAACACACAAGGGAAAACCAGGTCAGGGGAAAATATGAGGGAAGAAAACAAACTAAAAGTCCATAGTGGTGACAACTATACCATTTATAGAGCGTATATAAATATATGCAAGGTTAGTAGTAGCTGCTAATTACATATGAATATGATCAAAAAATACAGAGCGAGACATGCTTGATATTAAAATTAGTGCAGTTTCTGTCCTGTGGAGAGTCAGATGAGGATGAGGGTTAAATTAGCTGTGCTTTGTCCCCAGGATTGGAACTGAGAACGACTTGTATATTAAGGCCGGGACACACCAAGCCGACGGTCGGCCGTTGGCCATCATGGGGCCAATGGCGAGCGACGGGCGGGCTAGTTTGTTT